GAACGTTGTAATAAGTCCATTTGTTCGGACATCTTCTCCGGAGATACTGTAAGAACGTTTTAATAAGTCCATTTGTTCGGACATCTTCTCCGGAGATACTGCATTAACATGCATTAACGTTTTAATGATTCCAGACATCTTATGTACGTTTTAATCCTATGTAGTATATGTCATGTGTTGGATTCCCATACCGAGGGGATACACGCCCTAAAATCATGGAAGTGGAGTTCACCACCTGTTTGGGTGTTCGCAACATGGTTATCCAAGGGACCACTCCATGACATCTTCCATGAGGATTTCAGGGAGTGTACCCACCAAGCCAAGCACCAATAGGATTATTACTATTATTTATAGTACCTATAGCCTCGACCCCTCTAGATTCTCAAGAGGACATGATTGCTCAGGAACCAGGAACCGATTCCATGACATCTTCCATGACATCTTCCATATAACTCTTCCAGTCGACTCCAGTCCCATCGCCCGTGTTTGCGGGAAAATGATGCTCGTTGCTTCCCATCGGCAGGCTTCAAGAGCGCTTCCCGCAGAGCCGCATCCGCTGCAGCGATAGACCCTCGTCAGCAATGGGTGTTGTGGGTCAAAATTGGGAGTGCCAAAAACTGGTGGGTTGACCTCCCAAACGTAGTCTATTCATCCATGTCCGTACATTCAGGGCGGATGATTGAATTTGATTGCACCAAATACAAACATCTACGGGGTATCCCAACTAGAGTGCAGAGAGTTATGCAGAGTTTCTCCATCAACCGTATTTTTCACAGTAGATTCCTGGATCGGTAGATTTGGCATGATGGGACCCCTCCAAAACGGTGGCTCACGCTCCTTTCGTAGGTGACCTGGAACCCGTGTCCAGTCGGAGTTCTCAACCTAGAAAGGGCCAGATGGTGGTGATGTTGACCATCCCCGTCGAAGTGGAGCATTGACTTGTCCCACCTGGCCATGGCCACTTGGCCAGACTCCAGGTGTTTTTTTTTGAAGGAGGATGATTCCGATACTATATAGACTGTGTCCGTTCCGCCTTCGTCAAGTGGCGCTCCAAAGCTTCCAAAGCTTCCGCTCCTGAGCTTCCGAGCGTTTTGCTGTTGAACGACGTGGCGCTTCACTTACCGGTCCCAGGGGACGTTGGGACGTGCGCATCCCAACGTCACCACGGTTGGAACGCCGTGGTCGGTTGGAACGTCGACACTTCGGGATGAAGAGATCGACTAAGGGGTTGAGAGGCCTCTAGGAACGTAGTCAGTGGATGTCAGTGGTACAGTGGTACATATCAGGAAGCACGATTAGCAGGGAAGAGGTAGGATCAGGGAAGGGGTAGGATTTTCATCAAGAAGTATGCATAGTCAAGAGGGCTAATTAGAGGGCTGTTCAACCTCTCCAGGTATGTCCGCGTGGCATCAGAACGAGAATCTGGCGCAGACATGTTGCTTGAAATGAACCATTTGGACCGGTTCCGACATGAACACCAAGTGCAACTTTTGGCTTGCTTGCGCCGAGAGACGCTGTTGCAACGCAGAAAATTTTGGCTTAAGCTGAGTAGACACCTCAGTGACACTAGCTGTCTCAATTCAAAATGGCCAAGAAGACGGCCATTGGCATCGACTTGGGCACTCTGGCAGCTACAAACTGATCTGAGATCGAATTGTTCAACGGAACACGTAATTTTAGTATATTGTAATTACGTAGAGGATGGATGAGCATGGTAGGGAAAAGCGAATTGGTTCCTTTGGAACGTGCTTTAAGATGCTGCTCAACGAAGTGTCAAACATTCCAAACCAAGGTGGGTACATGTTTTGAGGTGTGGAGACTTGCTATGATAAGAAGCCTCTTGCATATTGCACGGATGTTTATGACATAACATGACATAGACGCACATAGAATCTCAAGATCTTTCCAAAGAGGGAAAGCAGCTTGGCTTGGGGTGCCCTAGTTGCATTCACTGAGTTTAATCTCCGACCATTCCCTGCGGGTTGTCTGACAGCTTAGCGTCATCCATTCATCCAGTTGCTGCGTGTCTTGCTTCAGCCAGGTAGGTTGAACCAATCGGATTGGTCATCCGGAGTCACTGTCCGGTTGAGCGGACATGTTTTGAAAGCTCACCAACATGGCGGGTGGTCATGCTTTCATTATATCCCATGCCCATTCCATTACCTATAACAGTGGATAATGATGCTTCAGTTCCAGGCCTTTCTCTCTCTAAAATACCCTTCCCCGTGATCATTGTTTACCGTTCGAAACAGGTAAGTTCGGACACCCCCAAGTCATACACCCTGGAAGACTAAGATGGACCCTGAAAACCACAGGTTGGTAGAGGAAAGCACTCTTCCAGGGCGCCATTGTCAGGGTCTATGTTAGTTTTCGGGAGTGTATGCAGTAGCTGGACATGTTTGTTTCTCGGGGCTTCGGCAACACCTATCGAGCCACTGTGCTTTGAGGCACGACCTACTCCTGCGTCGGTGTGTGGCCGCTGTGCTGCATCTTGAGATGTGGGTATCATAGAGGTCATAGAACCCGCAAAGCAAGCATGGTGGGGCGTTCATCTACTGAGGGGGGTTGGGGAGTTGCCTATCATTTATCATTCTTAGATACGTGCTTTCATATGTGGGCTCTCACTTGTGTGATCTCACATGTGTGCCCATATGTGCGCTCTCATATGTGCTCTCATTGTGTGCTCTCATGTGTTTGCTCTCATCAAGGTGTGTGTGTGTGTGTCTACTCTGATACCTGTGCTCTCATCAATGTGTGTGTGTGCGTGTGCGCATGCGTTCCCATGCGCGTGTTCTCACAGGTATATTCCCATATGTTTTTTTCTTTTGTGTGTGCTCACTCATCCCTGTGCTATCAATATTTGTGATCTCTCATGTGTGTGTGTGTGTCACACTCTGTTTCCAAGAGTTTTTACACGCAGGGGGGCGGAGCCAGGTGGGGGGTCTCCGGCCAACGAAGACACCCCCCACCTGGGTGCAAACGTACCTGCGATCAACTGTTGTCCAAGCTGTTCTACTCCCTCGTTTTTGCTTTCATGGTGGTTTTCATGATACGTCCCCAAAACCAGGTTTCCATGCACGGGATTAATTCGGTCTGCTAAGTAATCAGTAACTAATTTTCTGCGGTCATGCATCACGAGAAACACTTATTTTCAAACACCTTCAAGTGATGAAACGCTTCACCTGGCCGTTGAGCCATTCCTTTTCTCGGGGAATTGAGTTAACTGAAAGCCCAATGTCAAAGTGTGTGCCGCTCTGCCGTTTTCATGCCGGAGTATCACTAACAGATTTTGCTGCTTTCTGCACACGTTGGGACTTCGTTTCACCACTGTATTCCCAAAATCCAAGCCGCCGGGCACCACGGTTTTTACGACCGCCGGGTATACGGAAAGTCAAAGCCGCCGGGCATACGGAGAATGACCCCACACAACCCCCCGCCCCCGCCGAGTTCTCTACTCCCCACATAATTAGGGTAACAGAGGGAAATGGTACTCGACACACTTGTGTGTCGGTGCCTTTCCCTCTGTTGTCCCTGTTCTAGTCTACTCTACCCGGGCGGTTTAAGACTAAAGTCCCGCTCCCTAACTATTGCACCTAATTAGTTTCTGCTTAAGTAATCGTTAACTCTAGAGTGCCAAGTATTCAGACACACACATGTACACACACATGGACATACACCCCCTCCCTGCCCCCCGCTTTCTTTCTTGCGTTTTTCGTCGTTTCTTGGGCTTTCTTTCAGGCTTTTTAGGTGGTTCTTGAGGCCCGTTTCCCTGCCCCAGTCAAGGGCTAAGTATTCACCTTTTGCTACACCTATCTTTCTCTCCTGCCCTTTTAGCGCTGCTCTTTCTGTTTTTCTTTCTTTCTTGTCTAAGGCTTTTTAGGTGCCTATTTAGGTGTTTGCGCCGGAGCGCCGCAAAGCGGCTGAGTGTGTGTGTCACACTCTGTTTCCAAGAGTTTTTACACGCAGGGGGCCGGAGCCAGGTGGGGGGTCTCCGGCGAAGACACCCCCCACCTGGGTGCAAACGTACCTGCGATCAACTGTTGTCCAAGCTGTTCTACTCTCTTTTTTGCTTTCATGGTGGTTTTCATGATACGTCCCCAAAACCAGGTTTCCATGCACGGTGTTAATTCGGTCTGCTAAGTAATCAGTAACTAATTTTCTGCGGTCATGCATCACGAGAAACACTTATTTTCAAACACCTTCAAGTGATCGGACGCTTCACCTTGCCGTTGAGCCATTCCTTTTCTCGGGGAATTGAGTTAACTGAAAACCCAATGTCAAAGTGTTGTCTCATGTTTTGTCATTTTTGTGTGCTCGCATTTGTGTGCTCGCATGTGCACTCACATGTTTTTTGACTCTTGTGTGTGTTCTCCTACGTGTGTTCTCACATGCGTTTGTGTGTGCTGTCATGTATGTGCTCTAAAGCGCGCAAGCTCTTTATTCACCCTTGTTTTGTTTTGGTTGACACTGTTTGGGGTATCTTGCCGGTTATTTTCCTCAGTAACGGTTATCCTGGAGTAGATAAAGTATCGAACCATCCAAGAAGCAATCCGATTTGGAAGTTGCTGACAGAACAGTGGAAGACATTGGCCGCCATAGGATGACACTCAGATAGGTCATGTCTGGGTGCGTGTTCTTGGGTCGTTCAAGGAAGAATGATGGAGTGGAGATCATCGCCAACGACCAGGGAAATCGCACCACACCATCTTATGTGGCCTTTACAGATACTGAGCGACTGATTGGTGACGCGGCCAAGAATCAAGTGGCCCGGAATCCGGAGAACACGGTGCCTGGGCGGATGAGGGAGGTGGATTGGGAAAACCATACTCAATACTCATTGCTCAGAGCATCATCACGGTGAAAACAACAACTTGGGCCAGTGTCTTAAGTTCAATATTTATCTTGAGTAATGATCCATTGAGTCTCAAGATACCTTGGAATATGGCTAGAAATGTATCTGTATGTGTTTTATAGGGTCATGTCCCATTTTCTGGGGTACATTGGAGGTAGCATCGAATGTTTCGGCAAGGTAAGGAACTGCTGATCCACACCTCTTGGAGGGACCAGATACCGTGCAGGCAGGTTAGTTGAGGATGTCCAACATCTACTCTAGTTTTTAGCGGCCAGTGGTGTACCGTCGATTATCCAATTGGAAACTTCAGCCACCCAGAAGAATGCTAGTGTTCGGCAGTGCGAATGCGCTGCTTTCACTCTATATATAACGTATATTGGGTCCGTATATCCATATATAGTTAATGCCAATAGACGTTCCATGTGTCCATGTCCTTTGTACCTACCGCCGACTCATCCACCGAAACAAAGCCACACCAACCCCTGTGCCAAGCATCCCAAGCAAGTACCCGTTTCATCCCGTTTCTCTATTTTAACATATAATCAACCTCTGAACCAAATCCCCGCCCCAAGCATCCCAGCACCGCCCGCAGCAAGCGCCGAGGTCTTCGACGCCAAGCGTTTGATCGGCCGGAAGTTCACGGAGCATCATGTCCAGGCGGATATGAAGCTTTGGCCCTTCAAGGCGCTATGGACCAGGGAGACCGGAATTGGGTTCGTGGTTTGGGTGGAGAGAGGTGGAAGTAGGTTTAAAGGTCCGGGGATTCAAGGGTTCAAGCAATTTGGGCAGATATTCTAGGGAATGGATTGTTAGGGAATGGACATGATGGATGTACAGCTGGACGTTCTGGTTCAGACTCAAACTCTGAAAAAAGTACAGTGCTTTATAGTGCTTTGTACAGGAAGATCGTCTTTCAGGGGGCCATGTTTCGGGTCTATGACTCTATGACTATGTCTTTGGGATCGGATTGGCCAGTGTCCCTGCATGTGCTTTGAGCTTCCTCCTGCGGCGTATTCATGCATGAACTGCTACAGTTCAGCCCTGTTAAACGCAAGAACACCTGGTCCAACGTTGGACCCTCTGGCTATTGGGGGGTTGTCAGTGTCAGTCTATAGATGTCACGATATCCCGCGTGGAGAAGCTGATGTCCGCCCCAGGTGATTTCCGGCCCCGCTGAGAAGCCCATGATCGCCGCTTTGTCGCAGCGAAAGACGTCGTCGTCGTCGTCTTCGGCGACGGAGCGGCTGCGGCGATGCGCGGAGGGGGTGACAGTGACAAAACCGAAGAACTTGAAGCGAGTGTGAAGAGAAATTGTATCCCTAGGGCTCCAACATGCTCCCACTACCTCCTGAGAAGATGCAGAGGTGGTTGGGTGGATTAGGAGGGTCTACGGTCTAACTATTTTCTGAGGAGGTGGGCCAGGAGCTGGAGGTGTAGGGAATATGCAAGTCTGCTAAGATTATCACCCCGAAGTCTTTCTTTAGGTTCACTTCCGTCCGAGCTGTAGCCTCTACAGCGACCGTTCGGGGGAAACTTCTTACCGTTGTTAAGCTGCGCATGTCTGGCGTTTGGAAGAATGCGGTTCAATTTCCGACCTCAATGCCTAAAGTGGAATGACGACTTAATCTCAATCAGAATGCAGCACTTCACGCGCAAGGGAAAGCATGCCGGTGTGTGTATTTATATATATGCAAACAATGAAAACCTTTACCCTGTTCAAGCTTCATACAGGACATTGGCCTCCAGATCAGATCACTGTTCCGACATTGGCCGACTCTTCCGATCAGATGACTGAAAAGCCAGTCAGGTGGTGAACGCACAGGGTGAGGAGAAGAAGTTTCATCCGGAAGAGATCTCCTCCATGGTCTTGCTGAAGATGAAGGAGACAGCCGAGGCTTACTTGGGCACCAAGGTGAATGATGCCGTGGCTCGATGCTGCGATCGGCTGTTCTACTTGGAAGGGTCCAGGAAAGGGAGGAGCCAAAGAGAGGTTAAGAGACCTTATGGGACCCTTTAGGGGTACCTATGGGATAGGCTATAGTTAAGGCTCTTCAACCTCTCTAGGTGGGTGGCAGAATCCATATTTGTTATTGGAAAGGGAAGGCACAGCGGCTCGCGGTCAGGGGCATTTTTTGCTGACACACTCTCTCAACACGGGCATGGGCAAAGTTTGGCAGGGTGCAACCTTTTCAATATAGCAAACATCATTTACATGTATCACGCATACTGCATGCCCCACATTACACCACTATGACTTATGACTTTGCCACCCCATATCATGCATACCCCACTATGACTTTGCCACGGATTTCAGTATTTACCCGAACATTCCAGGATTCTGGGTCGGCAGCAGTGGGGGCTACCAGATTCCCGACACCCAATGATCTTTACCCTGGAGCCTAATGACATGAGCCATGGTCATTGTGCTATGTTGTGCTTCCCTGTCGCTTTCCTTTTCAACTATTCAACCACTTCCGAAAGAGCCTCAAGCACTGGCGGGTCCTTTCATTAGTCATTATATGTCATTGTCATTATACACTTGAAGTAGTCTTAGTTTCTTCAAAGGCAAACCTACTCGTACCATACACAAATATGTTGAGTTTGGGGAAGTGCGATCACAAATCATGCCAGCTGATTTGTACCTCACCCCTTGTCTCAGAGATTCACGGGTCGGAGTCGGAAGGGTGTAAACTCACACTAGAGATATGAGATCATATGAGATCATCCGGAATCCTTCCTGAGCCAAAGATATCCAAATGCTCAGGAGGGAGCGATTCGGAGACGGGGGACCCATTCACCATGAAACAGGGAGCCAAGGAGCTAGAGGGAGTTGAAACAAAACCTATAGCAAAGTACCTTCTGTACAAACAACGCCCTGGTGGCCGAATCAGTCTGAAACTAATCCTCCTTGTCATCACCTGAGGTGGTGACTGTGCCGGCCTACTTCAACGACTCCCAACGCCAGGCCACCAAGGACGCAGGCCCGGAAGGGGTTTGAGAGAGGTGCTTGTGCTTAACGCGTTTCACGGAAAAAGAGAAGCGGTGCCTTTTGATGATATGTGAATTGTTCAACTCGCATTGAATTCGGTGCTGAACTTCGGACCATCAAAGCTTTTTCTAAGGCTCAGTCAGATGACTGAGATTGGAAGATCCAAATGCTTCAGAGGCAGAACACATAATACATGCCGCAGCTTTTCCATACTTTTCCTGCCCAACATCCTGCCAAAAACCTCACTGGGAGAACGAGCCAGGCACCATTTCGGGCATGAACGTGCTGCGGATCATCAATGAACCCACTGCCGCGGCAATCGCCTATGGTTTGGACAAGAAGGGAACGGGTGAACGAAATGTCCTGAGCCTTGCTGAGGTGGGTGAAAGGAGCGAATGTTCCCGAAAACGCGCGAGTCGAGAGCTACACTTAAATGGCTTCGGATGCAATAGATACATTGGAGCCCTTGAAACCACCTTAATCATAGGTATAAATAAATATGTATAAACTATATATGACATACATGTTTATAATTTTATACATGGAGTGTGAGGGTACATGTTGCCATGATGTTGTTCTCAAGTTTTCTGGAGGTGAGTGACGTCGTTTCCTGTGACAGTGTGTGAGTTGTATTTTGTTGGTTTCGATGTTGGTGTACCTGGAACCCCAAACTATCACTGTGTTTTGAGTGCCAATCAGTTTTGAGACACCCCATGGCATTGGTAGGTGTTCCAGGCTCCAGGGAGAAGTATATATAATAAGTACTTGAAATCAGATGCAAACATCACTAACCACTAATCCTGACACTGCATGTGACTTGCATATTGACCTACAAGTGGGTGGTTTCATGGCTCAATGGGTATATGATTCGCATGTAGTGTGTGGCAGATGTGGAGATCGTGGATGTGATGTGAACGTCAGCGAGTGAATCCAAACCGGCTTGCTGAATTCACGCGGCAAACAGTCCAACCTGGACCCCCTCACGACTCCTCGATACCCCACGACTGGTCTGGCCCAGCTGTCGGGTGTCAAGCTGCCAGTCGTGCGGCACAAGAGACCCATCGGAGGGGTCGGTGGACTTGCCACCATCGGGTGAGGTGTTTTTTTTTTGCGGTTCACGTAGGTTGACTTCCCCGTTGTGTTTGTGATTGTGAGTATCAATCGGTTCCTACATGGCGCCAATCCAAGTGCGATCGACCGTCTCGCTCCGACGTTCCAAATCGTGGAGCGGATCTCGGATGCGGCGGAACCGGCCTGAGGATTTACGACATGGGCGGTGGTACCTTTGATGTGTCCTTGTTGACCATTGAGGATGGTCTCTTGGTTTAGATCGGAGATGTTGGTTTTCCCGAACTGGGTCCCGTTGTCCCCAGTCACCTGACATTTGTTCTATGTCCTTCTATGTCCACTGTGAATGAAGGGGCAGGTTTCTGCACACATATGATATTTGTGTACTTTGGGGAGAATTTAGGTTTCTTTGTGGAAATATATTCGCAACCTTTCTTTGTTTCCCCCCGGCTTCAATTCCAAGGTATCTTTGAGGTGAAGGCCACCGCTGGTGACACTCACCTGGGCGGAGAGGAGCACGCACGGGCTGCTCGCTCGGAGCGTCAAGCCGGCGGGATGCGCTGGGAACGGCAAACACGGTTCGCATAGCTTTGGGGAGACCCGGGGGATGGTGGATGATGGTGGGCTTTACTAAGCTTGTTGTACCTTGGTTTTTACATAGATTGTTGCACAGAAAAGAACACAAAAACACATCCCATATGCATCCTTGTGGGGTGGCCATGGTATATCATTTCATGACATTCGAAGTGCCACATCCGTGTTGGGCAAAGCAGCTCAGTGGCGTTTGAAAACGCCAAAACGCCACGCGCGCCAGGACTTTGACAACCGAGCCTTGGCGGGTTCAGCATTGGAGGAGTTCAGAGGGCAAGGGCAAGGGTCTCTAGTCAGGTGGATAACCTTCCATGGGGATTGGTTTTCTTACCGAAAGCTAAGGGGGTCAGTAGTGGTGCCAGCAAAGAACCTCTTTCACAGAGATGGCCATGCGCCATGTGGCGCCATGCGGCCAGCGCTGCGCCAGTGGGTCTCAGTCTCCAAGCAACCCAGGCACATGCCCCGCTGTCGCGCGTTCGAACCGCTGGTCGCGATGCGCTGGTCGCAAGACGTGATCCCAAGGCGTGGTGGACTTTTGCATCCAGGATTTCAAGCGCAAGAACCGCAACAAGGAGCGGTTATTTGCTGGATGGTTTCATGTGAAGAGACGGGAAAATCGGATGGGACATCATTTCCAGAGATGGGGCCATCTTAGATGCGTTAGATGTGTGATGCCGGAAGTCTCTGAGAGTGATTCCTAAGAAGTCTCTGTGTCATCCTGACCGTTGTCGACGGGTCTGACTTGTCACGACGTCACACTGCAGGACATGACCGGCAACCAGCGTGCCATTCGACGTTTGAGGACGCAGTGCGAGCGCGCCAAGCGCACGTTGTCCTCATCGACCCAGGCGAGGCGCACCGCTCGCCCGGTTGAGGACAGAGCATGGATCGTGCAAGCTTCTGCCTACTGGTCTGAATATATCAGTCTTAACCGGCATGAATGAAAGGTTACTTGCTTCCTTGGAATTGTCTTGTCACAATGCCAGTTCTTGTAGGGGAGCAAACCATGAGCACCAGCGTGACTGTGAGAACCACCAGACTCTTCATCTGCATCCAAATCTACCGGCGGATGACCCGGGTTCCACTCAGGCCACGATTGAGATCGATTCGTTGTTCGAGGGCATCGACTACTCCTGCAGCCTCACGGCCCGTAAACGAGCCGAGAACTTGGTTTCCGTTTCTCTACCTTGGGTCATGTTGACTGCGCAAGGAGAGCTCCTCTTCCTCGCCACGAGTTTCGTGTGAAGCATGCCCGTAGAGAGGAGGAAAATCAATTCCATGGGAAGACCATTATACAACCCCAGCATTTGGGGTCTATGAACAAATGGCCACAACAAGTGAGAAACCCGTGGTATCTATGAATCGCCCCTTGGGGATCCTGGTAAATCTTATATCAATATATGCCAGACGCTCCATGTAGGCCAATATATGCCTACATTGGGGTGGTTTTGGTAGGCATATATGGCATACAATGGAACGTTCGGGTATAAAACTGAGTTTTGGCCTTTCGGTTCACTTCCAGCCAGTTTCGGCTCAAAAACTTCCGGGGCAGCCCATCTCGCCCGAATTCGCTTCGGCCGTTCGTGCTTCACCGTTCCGTTTGTTCGGCGGCGTCTCCGAGGTTTGTCCCGGGCGCGCTTTGAGGAGTTGTGCATGGACTACTTCCGCAACTCCATGGGCTCCCTGGCGAGCGCACGGGGGACCCTGCCGTGAGCCGGTTCTTGGGAGCGAGGGGGAGAGCGGTTTGGAGCCTTGGTTTGTTGGGAAAGCTGGGGAGAAGATCCATGTCCGTTGGAAAGAGTGACCAACAGGAACTGCCGAACGGGGAGTTGAAAACGGCCAGATTGGATCTGAGCCTTGGGTGGTTCTGATGAAAAGGCGAAGGTGGAACGGTGAAGACTCCAAGTGTGACCATGCCGACCAGGAGATTGACCTATATTGGCCCTTGACGGTTCAGCCGTCCGACGGTTTGTCAATCAAATTCCCCTGCTATTCGGACCACATGGAACACCCACTGCACCATGTCGGGTTGGTCTTCGGAACATGGTCGGGGGTTCCATGGGATCGTGTTAGCAGGGGGTACCTCCACCTTCGAGGGAGCACGCAAGTGAGCCTAGGGTCTTCCTGGCGGGTATGGTTCCAACCACCCCACAATGTGGTGCTGACAAAATCCTCATCCCCGATGACATTTCCACTACGAAATGCAGGGACCAAGGTCCCCTAGAAAATGTTTGTTTTCTAGGGAGCCACTTTTGTACACTGACTTGATTCCCCGGCATTTTCTAGAAACGAGCCGAGATTGAACATGTTGTTCTATTTGGGGGGGGCATTTTCTAGGGAGTAGTTTGAGTGAGATGATGATAGGTGATGGTCAGTCGATGTTGCATTTTCTAGGACGATTGGAGGACAGTGCAAAAAACAACATTGCATTTTCCAGAAACATTTTAGATAATGACTTCTGGGATGTCCGTCCATGTTGGTCATGCAGCTGTCAATGCTCCCCTAGAAATTGAGACTTGGATGTTTGTTGCTCGCTGATACTTTGGAAGCTGAACCTGGACAGATCATTTTCTAGAGACTATTTTCAGACGGCACGATGACCAGGGAAGATCAAGTAACCAGGGAAGAGCAACTATTTGGGATGGTGTCATTTTTCCACCACACCTTGAATTCTAGGGATTCTTTCCACAACGTGTACACTTTTATAGTATTCAAGACATGCCTTGATAGGACCTCACCTAGAATTCTACTAGAAAATCTAGCGGCCCAGGTTCTCAGTAGAATATCAACAGGGATAAATCCTCGATCACCAAGCGATCCTTTTTGATGATTTTGGTTTGTTTGGTTTATTATTGGTTTCTCCACAAGCCTTTTGAAGGATGTTCAATCCTTTATGTTTTGTATTACACCAGACTATGCACCATGCCGACGGCAGTAGGACGATGCACCAGGTCTTTTTGTTCGGCATGAAGCCAAGTCACTGGAGCTAGCCAGAACTTTTGGAGACAGCCACATGTGTGTGTGTGTCCACCCCTGGACAAAGGGTTTTCCACCGCCACTTTTTC